CCATGTTATGTTTAATATGATATGTTCTCCAGCACCACAAATAAAAGACATTGATTCTTCTGTCATCCTTAATCATGGTCTGGATCAGACAAACCTTAGTCTCTAGACCAACATCATTGCTCTTCAGCGCTCTGGAGAGATCTGGCTGCTGGAGTCAAGAGTGTTGATTGTGGAACCAAGCAAGCTGAAATTGTTAATTTCAATCTGTCATGGTATTGCCAGTTGGCTCAGTCACCTGCTATGCATCTAAAAGCTGAATAGTGAATTAGAATTACAGGAGAAGAATTGATGCTTTTGAATTGTGTTGAGAAGAGCACTCCATATTCCATGGCCTGCCAAAAGAACAAACAAGTATGTTTTGCAGAAAGTGCCACCAGAGTGCTCCTTTTGAAGCAAGAATGGCGAAGCTTAGTCTCACATTCTTAGGACATGTTGCTCTTGGCACCAGCAGCCAAGAAATAAAAAGATGTATTGCGATGGGAAAGTCTGCTGTTAAAGACCTCTCCAAAATACTGAAGAGCAGTGATGTTGCTCTGGAGACTAAGGTGTGCCTGATACAGACCATGGTCTTTGCAGTCACTGGCTATGCATCAGAGAACTGGATAGGGATGACAGAAGGAGAATTGACACCTTTGACCTGTGGTGCTGGAAAAGAGTTTTGAGTGTACCATGGACTGCTAAGAAAACAAACAAGTTCGCCCTGGAGAGAGTTAAACTAGGCTGCTCCTCGGAGGCAAGGATTCTGAATCTTTGTCTTACATACTTTGGACATGTTGTAAGGAGGGACTAGTCCTCGGAGAAGGACGTCATGCTTGGGAGGGTGGAAGGACAGCGCAGGAGAGTACAACCCTGTATGAGTTGGATTGATTCAGTGACTAGGGTAGTGAGGGTAGGTGTGTAGGAGACAGTGAGATTTGGACAGGATAGAGCAGGGTTTAGGGCTGTTGTACATAGGGTTGCTATGAGTCGCAGGCGACTCAACAGCACATAACAACAACGTGCTTGGAAAGGTAGAGGGTCGGTGAAAGAGAGGAAGACCCTCAATGAGATGAATTGATGCTAGGAGTCATACACAAAAGTACCTAAGCACAACAGTTTGATGAGGATACAGTGGTGAGTGTTGACAGTTCACATAGGTGATTTTACATGGGAAATTCAGCATGCTGTGCTCTTTTACATATATGTGTTTAAATGAAATTTTCAGAGTGTTTAACTTTGATACATTTGTTATTATATGCCATCAAGTTGGAACTGATTTATATCTGACCCTCCAGTAGGTTTTCAAAGGCTGTAAATCACAGGGTGGAGGCTGTCCATTTCTCTCCCTCAGAGAAACTGATAAATTTGAACCATGGGCTTTGGGGTTGGCAGCACTGCTCCTTACTAGGCCACCAGAGCTCCTTTTCATACATTTAGTTCCCCTCATCCCATTCCATGGTAGAGCTGAATGTGTAGTAAAAACTTTGATCTCTGAATATAGTAAAAACTTTGATCTCTGAATATAATACTTTTTATTCATGGTTGCAACAGACATATAAAACTTCTGTATCATCTTTTTTAGCTGCAATTTGTGAAAGCCCAGGATACTAACCCCCCTAGCTTTACCCCCACGTCTCTCCCCCCAGGTATTTGAAGATGGACAGACTGGAGAGGGCATCAAATTAGGAAGCTGTTAATCACATGAAACATCTTAGGCTATTTGAAAAATTCGGTTTTTAATGACAATCATGTGCAATTTGTATGAATTTATTTAAGTGAATACATTTTGTACTCAGTGGTCATTAAACTTAACTTTTGACATTAAGAATCTTTGATCCTAGGAGGCATTTGCATGCAGTACTGTGAAAGAAGTTGCTGTTTGTCTTATTGGAAAGTATTCCATTTTCAGTGATTTAAAGGTGAAGAATCTGAACTTGAAGCCTTCACTAGTAAAAGTGGTGGCTACGTGCCATCTTCTTTGTCGGCCAGGCACTGTTGTACCCACAGTGATGATCTGCTGGGGATTCTCAGTTCAGGTTAAATGTGTGACAGAAGTAACCCCTTGGGGGTCAGTGATGCATTTCAGAGAATGAAGTTAGAACTTTACCCTAATTATTTAGGTATTTCTCTTAGATAATTCTTATAAGGGGGTATAAAGAAATGCCTTACCTAGCAAACGTAATTCCCTTATTACAAGTAGCAGTTGTTTTAAAGAAACATTTAATTGAAACATTTGGAAGAAAATTCCTTTGTAAGCTGTGCAAAGGGGGATTTAAAATGACTGTTTTGCTGTTGTTCTTTCCAGGTATGCATGTGTAAGAAGCAGAAGGATTTGTTTACAAATACACTTTCTTTTCCGAGTAATCTTCTTTCTGAATGTAATCATGACGATTGCTAAAAATGCCACAAAAGGGGGGCATGACAGGAAGGCATTAAAAAAAGAAAAAGATAAAAAGCCTTTACATAGGAGTTAGCTAATTTGCGCCGTATTTTGACCCTGTAATTGCATTAGTCAGTGAATCACAATCTCTTTTATAATTGTGGCCACTGTTGCTTTGCTTTGATTGATCCCCAGCTTGAGAAGCTCATGATAGGAGGAACTCAGAGGTACACTAGGCCTGCTAGAGGAGCTTCTGGTGTTCCTGCTTATAAAAACTAAAAAGCACATGTAATACATTTATTAAAAACATGAAATGAACATGATTCTAAGAACTGATCTATAGATAATATTTCAGATTTAACCAGATGTCCTGTGAGGCAAAAGAATTCCTTCTTTTGGTCCAGGGTAAACCAAGATGATTTGTGGCATTCTGCAAGAGTTAATTTCTCAGCCTTAAAGCCTTGGGATTCTTTTGAAGAATGCTGGAGTGTGACTCATGGCAACTCTGTGAACAGCAGACCTTATCCCCATCCTGTCCTGTGTCATCCTCCTCATCCCTCACACCCAAGTCTATTGCTGCAGAGGTCTTTCATCGTTTCTTTTTTTAATAGAATACTTGTCAGTTAGGGTTTGTCTGCTGCCTCTTCTTGAGTAGACAGTGGTTATCATTTTGGGGTCAGGCTCATGGTATTGGGGTGCCTCATTCCTGGAGAGGTGAAGAGGCTCATGCTATCAAGTGCATTCTGCTCAGTTTCACCCCTTATTGGGGTTTCTGATTTTTTTGTGATTCATAAATATCCTGTGCATTCTGCTCAGTTTCACCCCTTATTGGGGTTTCTGATTTTTTTGTGATTCATAAATATCCTGTGACACATTAATTTTGAGATTGTGTCAATATTTCTGTTTCTCATTGAAACCTACATCATGCTTGGGAAGGTGGAGGGACAGCGAAAGAGAGGAAGACCTTCAACCAGGTGGGTTGAGACGGTGACTGGCCATGGGCATGAGTGTGTCAGAGATTGTGAGGATGGCACAGAATAGGACAGGGTTCAGATCAGTTTTTCGTAGGGCTGTACTTGACTTGATGACCCCTAACAACAACATTCAGATCTGGAGCCACTAGTTTTAACATCCGTTGAGTCTGCTGAGAAAGAATTAATACTGTATTAGTTGCCAGATGGTGTTTTCTAGTTCTGTTAGCTTGCTTTTCTCCCCATTTACAAATAGATTTATTTGGGCATCATGTTAGAATTTGCCAAATCTGGAAATGAAATCTTACTCATAAACTATCTGGAAGATACTTATGTTTAGCTTATGCTCTGCAGGTCTACTATTTTCTATTAATTTTAAAATAGAAAGTGAAGCAATAAGCCTGCTTGATATGTGACTATCCAGTCTCATAAGCCTCATCTCTCAGTTCCGGTGATGCTATTTATTCTGGCCTGTGTCTATCTGCATTCACGATTGCTTATGTCTTCCCTCCTCAGTTCTTTTTCCATGACAGATTTTTAGAGGCCAGATAAGCTTTGCTTGTTTTAAAAAGGAGAGGTGCCATAAACATGGAAAGAAAAATAAATCAAAGGTTGTAGCAGTGATTTTACAGATGAGTTTTGTGCTGTAACGAGATCTCTTACTTGCCAATGAAATCATTGCTGAGTTTTTTATTTACACTGCAAGATAGGAGAGAGGAGTGACAGAATAAGAAGTTGAGAAAGGGGGGCAGAAAGGGAAACATTAGTCTATCAAAGTGTCCTAGCTCTTAAACTTAATAGAAGTCCAAGCCAGTTGCTGTATAATGTAACCCATTTTGTTACTACCTCTGTTTCTAAATGTATTCTGCAGGAAGAAACTGATTGTGGCTAGTAGTGATCTTTCCTCTCCCCAGTTTGATTGAAGGAGCATAAAAAATGAACAGCCCATCTAAGAAGTTTAGGGAAGAAATTGTGTGATAAATTCCTTTATCTAGAGAGATTAGGGACAAAAATATGTCAATTTCGTGACATTTTCCTGTCAACTAAGGTAAACTTAAGTTGCAACCATTTGTTTCTAGATTCAGGAGATATTTATGGGGTCTTATAACTGTTGGTTGATGTTTTGAACCTCTGTTATTCAGAACTTGGAGAACTTTTGGCTTTTCGAGGTCAAATTCTAGCCAAATAGAAGTTGTGGTTGATTCTCACATTCTTGTTGTCATCCAGTCGGAACTGGCTAATCCCTGGTATTCTTTTGGGTGTTTCTGAGGCTGTAAATCACAGTGAACGAGATGTCATCCTTCTGCCTCAAGAGACGCTGGTAGATCTGAACTACCAAAGAGGTACAGTCTTTAAGTTAACAACACAACTCCCTATGGACTACACCTGAGTGTGCCACAATTTACTGATTAGACTTCTTGTTGTGTACCATGGAGTTGGAATTGACCCATAACTGACCCTGCAGCAGGTTTTCAGAGGCAGTTAATCATACGGAATGAAATTGCCCATTCTTCTAATTAGACTTACATGAATTTAAAGTTCACTTCACTTCCTAAATATACTTCGCAGATTGCTAACAATTTCCCTGGAGTCACAGAAAAGTCTGAAAGAATAATTAACATTCATGTTCTCTCTGAATCCTTGCTAATGCCGTTATTTTCTTACTGTAGGAGGAGCTCTTGGTACATTCGAGGCAAGAACTTTTATGTGCTGACCTCCCTGAAGATTTTCGAAGGAGCAAAGGTATTTATTTCTCTCAGCTCTTTTCCTTTCCCCCTTATATCACATGCACTGATTCATTTTCCATTTTGCCTTGGGAATACAAAGTCCCTGCTGTGCAAGATGGGCTTAATAATAGAAATCCTTGCTCTTGCCAGTGGATGTGCTTGTGTGATGGAACAATGCCTTATTTTTGACAGTAGTTTGCCTCCACTTTCCTTTTCTGTAACAAGTCCTTGTTGACTGTGTATTGAATCCTTACAACCAATGATTGGTCTGATTATCTATAACTCACCTGCAAGTTTGGAAGTGTTAATGTGTTTGGGACAGGAATTCACCCCAGTGAATTTCTCTGTACCACCATGGAATTACATCATGTTCTTGTTTTTCTGGAGCAGTGAAGGCAGAAAAGTATATACTCAGGTCATCTTGGGTGTTCTCAAAGTAGTTAATCCTTGTCATCTCATTGTGCTCCACAAAACATTTATTAAATGTAGGCATTTGAGATACTATGACCTTCCTTGCTTTCTTGCTAGAAGCTGAGGCCGAAAGAGAAAGATAAACCTAAGATTCCTGCCCTTTCCCCCAGACACCTGACTTTTAGTCAGGCCCTTTAGCCACTATTTATTTTTATAATAAATCTTTTTTTTCCCCTAAAAATAATCTTAAGCAAGTTAAGAGAGGACTCTGTGTATTTTACAGTTATTGTAAAGAGTGGGGGTGTGTGCACGCAATATCATGCTTTCACCTCAAGTTGGAAATAGAAATGCAAGGGGTGGTACCACGGTGGTGATGTTTATGCAGTATGAAGCTTTCTCCTAAAGTTGGAAATAGTAATACTATTTGACCCAGCAATTCCAGTACTAGGAATATACTCTAAAGAATCCAGAGCTGCCACTCAAACAGATATGTGCATACCTATGTTTATTCTGCATACGTGCATACATACACAAGAAGAAAAAAAAAAAACAAATAGGCTAAATTATTTGTTTCTATGCTGGAATATGAGATTTGACTCTCCGCTTCCTGGCTGCCTGAATAGAAAATGAAGCATGAATGATTCCCTTGTGAAAGGATGCTAACTCCAGTTTGTCAACCTGCTTCCTGTTCTTGGAGATTTTCTCTCTGCCTCTGAGGCTTGCTGTCCAGTGTAGATGAAAGGACTTTGTTCTGAAGATGATGGGTGTACTGTACCTAAGTCTCCCCTGGTATCTGAGACTTTTCTTAAGGATTCCAATGAGACAGTTAGGTTTCCACTCTCATCTTCACCCACATGCCCGTGAGATCTTTTAGCAGGACTCCAGTGTCGTAATTGTAAAAATGGCGCAGTAGTGCCATCAGACTGCCTCTTAGAATTGGGGTCCGGTGGAGAGCAGGGAGGAGAATCAAGATCAGCATCCACGTAGAGCTGATTTTTTTTTTTTATTTTACCTTTGGTTTTTATTGTGATCTTAGTGAAAATTTACAAAGCAAATTTATTTTCCTTTCATACACATCTTGCTGTGTAACATTTATTACTGTGTCCACAAGGTAATTGTGTTTTTCCTCACATCCTCCTTGTTCTAATTTCCTTTAATCCTTCTGTCTTCTGTAATTGATTATTCTACACTGTTAGTTCCTCCTTGTGAGTATCACTCCTCTTCTAGACCCACCTACCTGTTGTTGGGCTAAAAATTGAGTATCCCCAACCTTTTTACCAATTCTGTCACCAGTGGTCTCTCCCAAAGCTTCTCCACTTCTCAACTGGGTTTGATGCTTAGTTGCATTATGATATTATGCATATTATGATTATAGAGTTTAAGGACCATAGTTCTAGTTATGAGGTGTATTAGGAAAGTAACAGGTTGCAGTTCAGAAGTAGGGATGACTCCGATTACAGAGATTTGGTTAGAACAACTTCCTAGGCAGGCCTCTCCACCAAGTGGTAGAAAGCTCTCCTGACAAGTGACCAGAGGCATCCTTCTCCATTAGGAAGGAAGCCCCCTGTCCTAAGGGGCTCAGCTTTCTGAATCTGCAGGTTGGGTCAGCCACTGTAGCTGCCTTGCTCCATGGGTCAGGAAGCCCCCTACACTGTCTCAGACTGGTTTCCTGGTTCTACTGCAGCTATTTCTCTGCCTCTGCTTCTCACCATCTTGCACCATATCCAGTGTTATAGCTTTCTGTCTTCTGAGCAGATTCTCAGTGTAGAGATTCTAGGTAACAAAAGATGTGGTTTGCTCCCAGCTCTTGGGGATGGTGAGGTTCCCCTCTGCTTTTGAGATAGATAACTGCAGGGCAGGGAATTATTTGATAAGGCTCTTCTAGCCATAGTCTTTTTTTTAGTTTTTATTGGGTGGGACTATGTAAATGGAGGGGTTTGTGGTTCTCAGGGAGATTAGATAGTTTGCAAATTATGTAAATAATAGGTATGGCACTCTTGTGGGGTGGGACCATGCAAATAAGTTGACTGAGTGGAACACTACTGTGAGGGATAGCTACTTTTGCCAAACTTCTTGGCTTAAAACGAGTCATCGCAAAGAAGGAAAGTGAGAATGTCACATTGTCATCTGGGGGAAACATCAGACCAACCATAACTGAGAAATATTCTACAAAACAAATAGCCTATATTCTTTTTTATTTTATACTGATTTATTTACAAAGTTCGAATACATTGTTCTTCACACCAGATCTTTCCTATTTCCTTCTCTACCCCCACCCATTAAATTGTGTGACCCTATGATTAACCTTCTTCCTCTCCACCTTCACTCCTATGCTTCCATCCTCCCCTTCTTGGGTTCTCATACATGTTCTACAATAATGGTCTTATACGGTATTTGTCCTTAAGAAACTGACTTACTTCACTCAGCATAATGCTCTCCAGTCCCTCCCAAGTTAGGTAGTAATTTACAGAATCATTACTCCTGTGTCCTGCATAGTATTCCGTTGTGTGAATGTACCGTAATTTCTCAGTCCATTCTCTTGTGGTTGGACATCTGGGCTGTTTCCATGTCCTTGCGATGGTGAATAACGGTGCTAGTACAAATCTGTTTGTGCTTCAGTTCTCATTTTCTTAGGGTATATTCCAAGCCGTGAAATAGCTAGGTTATATGGAATTTCTATGTTCAGCTTTTTTAGGAAGCACTAAACTGCCTTCCAGCATGGTTGTACCATTTTAAATTCCACCAACAATTCTTTTAAAGAATCAGAAGGTCTTATACTGAGGAATTAACTCCTCCATATTTTTTACAGTACCTTTGTGTGTGTGCACGTGTGTGTGTTTTCAGTGTCTTTTTTTTTAATGACATTTTTATTTTATACTGGTTAACTTGAAGTTTGTAACACATTGATTTTCACATCCATTGTCTTTTTTTAATTGGCATTTTAATGAAAATTTATAGAAACTTTGGGTTTACATTTCATCCATTGTCTTTAAATACTTCCTGTGTCATTCAATGCTTTGTTTATAAAATCCTCCCTATTGCACCTTGAGACTTGATTTTTTCTTCAGTTCTTTTAATCTGAGGAGGGATAAGCATGTTCTTTCCTTTTGATGTTTTAACTCCCAAATCTTGCACATTTCATTTAATACTTTGTCATGAGCGACTCTTTGAAATATTCTCTTCAGTTCTTTTTACTTCTTTTCTTCCATTTGCATATCTAATTTATGTTCTAATACAGGTTTTCAAGATTCATTTGACATCCATTTTGGTCTTCTTTTCTTGCCTTTTTAATGAATGTCATCTTAACTATGTCTAAGGCTTCAGTCATTGAAGCTAATTGCATCAATCTGTTTGTTTGGGTTTTTTCTAAAGTCTGGATTTTTTTATTTTTCACAATTCATTCGTTTTCCTTTTTTTCTTTCTTGTTGTGTACCATCGAATCGGATCTGACTGGTACAGGAGATTGCCCCTCCTTCTCCATCTGGTAAATTTGAACTGTGTGCTTTTGGGATTGCAGTGCAGCTTCTTGCTGCTAGGCTACCAGAGCTCCTTCAAATAGTTTTTTGAGATGAATTCGAAACTCAGGTACTATATATTCAAGGTTACTTTTGATGCTCGTAGACTTTTCACTTTCTTTCATTTCAACTTGCACTTACATGTTGCTATTTGATGCTGTCAAGTTGTCTATGACTTACAGTGACCCCATAAACAATATATGGAAAGCTTATTCTAACGTGCATCGTCTTTAGTCTCAGCTATGCTCAAGCACATTGTTACAGTCTTCCTCTAACCTTTCCCAGCATGACATCTTTTTCCAAGGATTGGTCCCTCCTGACTTCATGCTCGAAGTATATGAGACAAAGGTTCCCCATTCTTGCCTCAAAAGAGCAGCACCCTGGGTGCACTTCCTCTAAAACAGATTTGTTTGTTCTTCTGGAAGTACAAGGTATATGTTACATACTCTTCATCAATGCAAATCAAAGGCATCATTTCTTCAGTTTTCCTTATTCATTGGTCAACTTTCAGATGCATAGGAAGAAATTGAAAACACCATGGCCAGAATCAGTCAGTCACCTTGTCTTTAGACTGACATCCTTATTCTTTAGCATGTTAAAAGAGGTTCTTTATAGCAAATTTCCCCTAATGCAGTATATCTGTTTGATTTCTTGACTGCTGCTGCCATGGCTTGATTGTGAATCCAAGTAGATGAAATCTTTACAACTTCAGTCTTTTCTCTATTATGATCTTGCATATTGATTCAGTTGTGGGGAGTTTTATTTTCCTAATGTTGATACTTACATAGGAGCAAACTTTTTTCCCTTTCTTTTTTTATTAATTTTAATGAAAGTTTACAGAGTTTTCGTTGTTGTACTTTTCTCCCTGCCCACCCCTACCCCCCAATTAACTCTTCTCTTTGTAAAGTAAAAGAAAAATTCTTTCACTGTTATACAGTCCCTTCCCCCAAGTCCACTCCACTATGCAACCTTCATTCTAGACTCCTGTCATGACAGTAATACCTAATCATATATCCCTTTTAAACAGTTCTCTCCCTCATCTATTTCAATGCCGTTTACATAGTTTATCCCATCTTTCTCAGTCTCCCCCAACCCCAATGTCAGTCCCTTTTTACAACAGTGACACTATGCAGTATTTGTCCATTTGTGACAGTTTTACTCAGCATAAAGTCCTCCAGGGTCATCCATTTTGTATAATATTTCATGAGATTCTTGTTTTTCAATGAAGTGTAGTATTCTGTTGTGTGAATATACCCCAGCTTCTCTATCCATTCATTTGTTGATGGGCACTTGGGTTGTTTTCAGTTTTTTGCTATTGCGAACAAAGCTGCAGTAAACACGGGTGTGCATATATCTGTTTGGGTGGCAGTTATGGTGTCTTTGGGGTATATTCTCAGTAGTGGAATTCTGGGTCAAATGGTATTTCTATTTGCAACTTTTTGAGAAAGCACCATACAGCCTTCCATAGTGGTTGTACCATTTTACACTCCCACCAGTAGTGAATAAGGGTTCTAGTTTCTCCACAACGTCACCAGCATTTGATGTTTGCTGTTCTGTTAAATTTTGCTATTCTGACTGAGGTGAGATGATATAGTTGTTTTGATTTGCATCTCTCTAAAAGCTAGGGATTTTGAACATTTCTTGATGTGGTTGTTTGCCATCTGAATGTCTTCTTTGGTCAAGTGTCTGTTCATATTCTATGCCCATTTTTCAGTTGAATGATTTACTTTTATCTTGTTGTGGTAGGAGCACACTTTTATTTCCTTCATCTTGAACTTGCTCAGGAGCAGTTGCTACTCTCTTCCATAATTGGCCCTTGGACTTGTTCTGATTGTTACTGTGCTTCTCCATTGTGCTTCCATCAATTTAGTCAATTTGATTTCTGTTAGCCTCTGGCCTCCCCTTCCTCCTTTGGACTTTTATACATACCTTACTAGTTATTGTTCTATTTTTACAATAATGATCTTATGCAGCATTTGTCCTTATGGGACTGAATTAGTTCACTCAGCATAATGGTCTCTGGCCTCTCCCATGTTATATAGTATTTTTCAAAATCATTGCTCCTGAGTATTCCATCATGTGAATATACCAAATTTTTTCATTTCATCTGTTTGTTGATAGACATTTGGGCTGTTTCTATTTTCATGCTGTTGTAAATAACGCTGCTGAACATGGGTGTACAAATCTTTGGGTGTGTCTTGGTTCTGTTTTCCTTGGAGGATATTCCTAGCAGTGGAATAGCTGGGCCATATAGAATTTCTATGTATAGCTTTTTGAGGAAACATCAAACTGCCTTCCAGAGTGCTTATACAATTTTATAGTCCCACCAGCAGTGTATGACAGTTCCAGTCTCTCTCTATCCATTTATTGCTTGCTGCCCTGCTATACTTTGCCACTGCTTCTAGGGTGAGATGATATCTCATTGTGATTTTGATTTGCGTCTCTTATTGCCAGTGATTTCAAGCATTTTTTTTTCATGTATCTGTTGACGATACACATGTCTTCCTTTGTGAAAAGTCTTTTCATGTCTTTTGACCATTTTATACTTGGGTTATCAGTCTTTTCCTTGTGGAGGCCCAGTAGTAGTCTGTAAACTTTTGCTATCAAGAGACCCTTGTCTGAAATATCATTGCCAAATGTCATCGTCCCTCTCCAACCCCCACTCAGTAGGTTTTCTTTTCATTTTATTGGAAAAAGTTTTTGATGTGCACACTAGATCTTCAGAAGGGCCCTCCATTGATGGTCCCTCACGTGGTTGTAAATAACATATGTCTGTTACATGTTTTATTCCTCTTTCCTTCCTTTCCCATCCCTGGCAACCATCCAAGAATCATTCTGCATTTAATTATTTCTTTGGCTTCTTAGAATAGTGATTTTATGACGTATTTACCCTTTTGTGACTGACTCCACTCATCGTGATTTCCAGCAGACCCAGCCATGTTATGTAGTATTTATGAAAAACTTTATTCTTTGTTATTGTTGAATACTGTCAAGTCAGAACTAAGTCATAGCTGACCCATTAGAGCGTTTTTCAGAGGCGGCAAATAACATGGAGGAGATTGCCCATCTTTCTCCTGTGGAACAGCTGGTGGATCTGAACCGTATATCTTTGGCTTGACAGTGCAACAGAAACAACAGATAAGAACCCTGTCCTTTCCTGTGTCATCCTCACAATTTCCAACACCCTCAAGCCCATTGCTACTATCATGTGTCAGTCCACCTGGTTGAGAGTTTTCCTTTTTTGCTATCCGTCTATTTTCCCATGTATAATGGACTTCTCCAAGAAATGACCTCTCCTAGTAACTTGCCTAAGTACATGAGATGAAGTTTCATCTGAGTGCACTTTCTGCAAGACTTTCCCTTTGTTCTTTTGGCAGTCCGTGGGATATTCAGCACTCTTCTCCAACAGAATTCAAACACAGCGATTCGTCTTTTGTCATCTTTAGTCATTGTCCAGTTCTCACATGCATAGCAAGTGATTGAAAAGACCATAGCCTGAATCCAGGTGCACCTTAGTTCTCAAACTGATATCATTGCTACACAGTAAGGTAGGACTATGCAATTGTTAAGTGTGGCCTACAAGAAGGATTA